AGCCACGAAAAGACAGGGAAAATGAAGAAACAAACATCCATCAAGGCAAAACAAAATGTGCAAAAGGGGGAAGAATAAAACTAAAAACCTTGACGAATAACAACTTAAGGATGATGCTTGGCTGGCTGGCTGGATTTCCCATTGGCTCAGTTACCCAGCCGGTAGACGAGCGAGAAGTTGAATAGCGCCAAAAGAAAAAAGACACACAAATAAAACAAGAAAACTTTAACAAGAAAATGACTACACGTTTGTAAAGTTTGTGGAATACTTAGAGTTTTGCCAAGTTTTTTTTCTCTGTATTTTGCTCATATTTTCTCTGTTTTTTGGAAAGTTAAGTAGTAAAGCAGCACGAACAAAATAATTCAGACAAAAATGGAAATGGAAAAAAAGAAATATCTAAAACTAAAAGGTCAACATTTTGATTATTAGTTTTGTTATTTCTTATGTTAATGGAAATGAAGTTTGGGAAGCGTTTATTGAGTGAGAAGAAAAGATTTTTGGGGAATTCCTAAAAGAATGCCTAAACAAAGTACTATAGCAAAGATAAGATAGGTATGTGAAGTAATAGTTCTAAATATTTTTTTTTATCTTTTTTATTTCTAGCTCAGATCTATGTCGAAGGACCATTTTTGAAACGATGTGGTGTTAGATGTTTCAGGTTAGGGAAACATTATATGTTGAAAGGCTGTTTTTAATAAGCGACAGTAAATCAAAATTTTGTGAAAACCAAGAGCCAAATCGAACCGAAGTCGAAGGACCATTTACAAAAAGAAGTTGAAGGACCATTTTAAGCAATAATAATATATTTCCTCAAAGGGATTACAGTTGGGAAGAGATTAAAGATATAAAATCGTTTCAAAGATGTCATATATATATATTTTATTCCGCCTCAAAAACATGTCGAAGAACCATTTTTTCATCAATGTGATGTGAGGTATTTCAGGTTATGAAATCATTCAATGTTCATATTCTAGTTTTGGTAAACCTCAGTTAATCCTAATTTTGTAATTGTCATGATGCTTACAAAACGAAGTTATCGAAGGACCAATATATGTTATTTGGGATTAATGGACGAAGTTGGTAAACGCTCAAAGATATAAAATCGAAAATAAAAACGAAGAAGTGATAGTCCCAAATATGTCAAATGTATCTTTTTTTCCACCTGAGATCTACGCCGTTTTCCAGAAAAAAAATCAGACAAGCTGACTCTATATTTTTTACCGATCTGACTTGAAGGACCAATGAAGCAGAAAACGGTCGGTAAATTAATTGGTTATTTGCCTCGCATGCTTCAATACTTCATTCTGATCTGGCTCGAATGACCAATTAATGCGAGATAGAAACTTGCCATAAACGTTTCGTTGAATAAAGCTCTACAAGGGAAGCCCACTCCATTTTTTTTTTCCACGAAGATCCAATAAATGAATGAAACAGAATCATATAGTTGAAAGGTCAACTTCGACGATGATGAACCAGACCAATTTGAATATTTTCTTCCTATCCGACTCGAAGGACGAATGAAACACGCAATGCATATTGTTCAAATATCGAATCTTATCCGACTAGAAGGATCGAGTCAACGTTTTAACAATTTTTTTATACTCGAAGGATCAACGAATGTCAAATGATAGAGCGAATAAAACAAAGGTAATACAAGAAGGTAGCAAATTCATTTCGCATTCGATTGCTCGAAGAAGCATTGAATGCATATTTTTTAATCAAGCTCGAATGACCAATTAATGTAAAGATAGACGCAAACACCTAGATTTTAACATTTATCTGTTTGCTTATCTCACTATATCTTGTTTAATTAATAAATGTTATCCAAATCGAATTTTTAATTCAATTCCTAAGATTTTTCTTATACGAAGGACCAATGAATGTCTCATCTTCAAATATGATGTGTATGCGATGTCTCGAAGGACAAATAAATCTGAGGCAGAAACACAGATTTTGTACATGATTAAAACGTTAACTCTTGTCTCGAAGGAGCATCGGTTGATTGGAATTAATGCGAGTAAAATGCACAAATGTTGTGCATAATATAAACTTTACCCCTTCACTCGAAGCACCAATAAAAAATAATGCTATGGTTGATTCAAAAACTTCGAAAATAAAACCGTTGCACCTCGTATGACTTAACATTTTTTGTGAATCGGCTCGAAGGACCACTGAAAGCGATAATCGTTACGCATGGTTGCTTTATTAACTATATACTTCTCAATATTTAATTTTCAGTTGACTCAATAGAAGGAAGAGAAACACAAGAGCTCAGCATGTGGCAGAGAAACTGACACGCCTCTTGTGACTAAAAATGTTATTCTTTTCCGAATCGAAGGACTAATAAATTCAAACAATCGTTTTGTAGGAAAACTAGATTAACCTAGAGAATAAAACACATAATATATTTGTAACCAGCTTGAGGAATCAGTAAACATAAACCCTTCCACTGCAATGAATATTTAGTATGGATCTGATTATCAAAGCGAACGAAACTGGTCCAAATTACGTCATTCCGAATTCACGGAAACAATGTCAACGCAGCTGACACCTTGAAGTAAAGTAGGTTTCTCTGCAGAACTGTCCAAAATAAACCCAATGAAATTATATTTTTACTTCAATTTTTTTTTTTCGAAAAATTATTTTTTCATTTCCAACGCATTTTAGAAAACAACGAACGGAGAAACCTAACAGATTCCCTTCTCAATCTGCTCGAAGGACCAATATGTAGCACGGTAAAATTAGAGCAAATAACTTAGCATTCTTTAATGTTTCTTATCTGATATTATTCAAAGTAACAACGATTTGGTAAAGGACACAAAACCGCTGCTTCCCATTGTCATATATTAAATTGTGATTGACTAAAATGATTAGGGCGAATATCATTTGTGTGTAATTATTTGATAGTTTCTCTTTTCGATTTGAGCTATTAATATGTGATCAATCACTTTCCTGCAATGTTGCAACTCCTTTCACAAAAAGCTCTTTAAATATCAGGAAGTCTTTCAATAACTCCTTTATACTTAGTTTTTACTCAACCACCGAAAAGGAGAGACAGTTCGACTTAAGACCTGTAAATTAAAAACGGCAAACGAAGCAGACGGCTGAATTCGCAAATCCATAAGTCAATTGTTCTTCAGATTTTACCATTACAATATTGTCTTAAACACCAAGAAATATTTCTGGTCCAAATTGAAAAACCAATGTGTGCAAATGATCAAAAACAGAACAACCGGCTTTATCAAATATTTAAACGCCGCATATGGTTCAGTAATTGAGTTGGCCTCGAATTGAAGGGCCAATAAATGAAAAAATTAGACACAACACATTTTTATTGACTTTGAACCGATTCGAAGGACCAATGAATTCAAGAAGGCACCGCAATCTCTCCGCAAAGTTGAGGTCTTATTCTGCGAACTTGCTCGAAGGACCAATGAATTGAGAAATACAACTATATAGTACTTTCCTGGACTTTATTCAAACTCTAAAGTAATTCAAATCGAAGGACCTATGACTGCAAGAAAGCAAAGTCAGTATTGAACCTTCAAATCGTATATAATTAATTTAGCCCTACATCATTCAGTATTTAATTTAGCCACAAATCGAAGGGCCAATAAATGAAACCCATCGAAGGACCAATGGATTCAAGAAGACAACATAATTTCTCTTTTTTACCATTACCATATTTTCTTAAACACCAAGAAATTTTTCCAACTCCATTAAAGAGAAAGAGACAAAGAACAAATACTGTAATCAAACGAAACTAAATGCTGAATTTCCAAATCCATGTGTTTTTCTCATTGTTTCCTAAGATTCTATGTTTTTTTCCAATTTGAATAAATACATGCGCAGACAAAACATTCCAAGTCGGTTTCAAAGGCGTCGAAGGGCCACTGGACCAGTTGATTACTTTGGTCCAATTCGCATCATTCAATATTTAATTCCGATCAACTCGAAGGACCAACGCCAGACCGCTTTTCTGAGCTCAATTTTTATCAGACTCGAAAGACCAATGAAATGAGAAACCCACAAATACCGTAACCAAACGGAGCAGACTCTGAATTTGCAATTCCATTAATATTTTTTACTTGTCTTTTTATCATAATTCCTAAGACTATATGTTTAATTCGGATTCAGTCAAAGGACTAAGCACTTGTATTGAAAAATGCATACGCGTGTAAATGCATTCCAAGTCGGTTTCGTATGCATCAGCTCGAAGGACCATTGGTACAGTTGACTGTTTCGGTCTCGTTAATAAGATTCAATGTTTAATTCCGATCCCCTCGAAGGACCAATTAAAGTATAAAAGGCGTTGTGTTGGTTAAAAATTTTAAATTGTACCCGGATCGAAGGACCAATTAAAAAAAAAGAAATAGACTTTTGGTTTCGGAACCATTCCTATGATTCTTTGTTTAATTCCGATCTACTCGAAGGACCAATGAAGGTATACAAGCCATTTTGTTGGGTAATGAAAGTTGGGTAATTGAAAAGGAAAAGAGAAACAGAGTTTGGGTTCCGGAACCATTTCTACGAATACACGAGCAAGCCATTGTACCGATAAATGCTACGCGGTTAAATAAATTCCAAGCGGTTTTGTATGCGTCAGCTCGAAGGACTATTGTACCAGTTAATTGTTTTAAAATCATTCCTAAGATTGAATACTTAATTCCGATCCGCTCAAAGGATTAATGAAGGTATAAAAGCCGTTGTGTTTGGTAATATTTTAAATTTGTATCCGACCGGAAGGACCAATGAAAGAGAAAGAGACTTTGGGTTTCGGAACCATTTCTACGAATATGTCTTTAATTCCTATGCACTCGAAGTACCAATAAAGGTATAAAAGCAAAAAAGGCGATCCCATTCGTAACGTTTTTTTAATTTTATTCGACTCGAAGGACCAATGAATGGGAAAAGAGGCAAAGACTATGCATCTGAAAATGTTGTTCCTACTAATCTGTAGATATCAGAAGGTGTTTCATAGAAGAATTTTAAAAACTTACCGTGGTTTTAGTATTTTTTTCAAATCCATTGTTGCTGCATTTGGGCTAGTTGTTTGCGCGCTTTATATTTAAGCTGGGAAAACTGCTTCTCTGCTCTCTTCCTTTACAAATAATTGAGACAATTAGACATTCTTATTGGGATTGGTGTTTTTTTTTCTTTTTTGTTTTGTTGGTTGCTTGCTTGCGTAGCAATTGGTGTTAAAAGTTGATTATTAGGATTTAGTTTGAAAGTTGGTTGGTTGTACTTGTTATTACTTTGATTTGGTTTAGTTTGGTCTAGGTTGTGGGCTCTCTTTAATTTTTTTGTTTTTGATTACAAAAAATGAATTTCTTAGGAGAGTAACTGTTGTTCTCTCAAATGCTTTACACAATGCTCTCTTGCTTGTTTGTTATTGTGAGGCAATGTTGTTATTTATATTCTCTTCTCTTTTCCGTTATATGGGTATTGAGTATTGAGAGATCAATTTTATTATCTCTCCCTCTTTTGTTTTTGTTCTCTGTGCTCAGTGTTTTTGTTTACTTGTGTTTGTGTGTGTGAAAGTAAGTCTGAGGAGAAACGAAGCCACATTGAGTAGTGTTTTGTTTGTGTTTACAATTAGTCAAGCCGTATTACCAATTATTGCACAACGTAATGTAACGCAATGACGTAAAGTAAAGTAATGTTATTCCTTTTTCTCGCATTTAGAGGAAACCAAACAACATTTAAAGCCGTTTTTTAGTTTTAAATGACAAAATATATTTTTAAGATTTTATATTAATTTTTTGTTTTAATATAAGACTGTTAGCAAAACTTTTTTGACATTGATTTGATTTGCTTGTTTTTCTTTATTATTTTTATGTTTAAGCAAGCTTGATTGACATGTGGTTTTATAGTAATTTCTACCGATTTTTGTTGTTATTTTTTTGATTAAATTTGAGTTGGTTTTCAGTTGCCTGTAGTGATTTCATTTTACAATTAAGCAAGGGGTTTCTAAAGCATTTTTATTACACCAACTAAATAAAATGCCAAGGAGAAGAGGCGTTGTATTTGTATATAAACTTATTATTTTAATTAATATTTTTTTTTTTTGTATTTTAAGTAAGCACTTGGTTAATATAATATTTTTTTACATATATTTATAATATATTATTTTTTTTAAAAAATATTTCTACTTTTTTAGCTACTTTTGTGACATTTATTTGCAAAAAATTTTGAACGCCTTCGTCTGGCGGATGATTTAGTAAAATATATTTTTTACAATTTTTTTATATATATTATGAAGTTAACTTTAATTTTTTTAGGGGATTTCTCGTAGAATTGGGATTTTTTTGTGGGTAGGATTTATTTTACTATTCTGTTGTTATAATAAGTTATGTTGTTGTTGTTATTTGTTATTGCTTTTGTTTTGTTAGGCAACTATTTACTGTTTTTGTTGTTGTCGTTTTGTTTTTGTTTTAGTATGTTGTTGGCTGATTGTATGCTGCTGTGTTTATCTCTTCCTCCTCCTCTTGATCTGCAATATGTACAAGAAGTTTGTTTTGTGTTACCAAAAAAAGGAAACAAAAGTTCTATAATTTTGTTGTTTTTTTTTTTCTGTTCTTGTTTTTGTTGCTTGCTGCTGTGCTCAACAGTTTTATGGTAATTTTGTTTTAATTAAATTTTCTCGTCGCCCTGTAAAGGAAATGAGGAAAAAAAGGAAAACATTATTTTTTTTTTTGCTTTTTTTGTTGGGAGATAGTTTTGTTTTGTATAGTTTTAAGCACAAAAAAGATATATAGAGAAAGAACGGATTAAAAGGAAATATAACAAAATTTAATTAAAAAAAATAAAAAATAGACCAAAAATAAGGTTAGGTCACAGATTTTAAGGATAAGTGATAAGCTCCCAGAATTGGGGCACAATATTAATTTCTGATCTGAATCGAAGGACCCAAAATTTTTTTTTGTTCCATTTTTTGTTTTACCCCTACCTACCCTAAGGACCAATAAGTTCAAGAAAAAACCCAAGCCATTCGAATCGAAGGACCAATTAATTCATTTTCATATGTGAACTTGCTTGAAGGACCAATAAATTGAGACTAAATCAAATCGAAGGACCAATGACTGAAAGACATCATAGACAGAGCAGGGCAGAACAAGCATTCGAATTAAATGACTAATGACGGTAACGCTAAGGTTAGGTCAACAATATTAAAGATTTAAACTATTGCGCGTGAAAAGCTCCGAGAATCGGGAATAAGATATTTATTTCTAAAACAAATCGGAGAACCAATGGCTGCAAATTATTAGTTGTTCCATATTTAATGCTACCCCAACTCGAAGGACCCACAAATGCAAGAAAGAAACACCAATCGAAGGACCAATTAACTCATTTTCATATGTGAACTTGCTCGAAGGACCAATGAAATGACATTGACTCAAATCGAAGGACCAATAACTGCCAAAGACCAAAGACAAAGCTGGAGAGAACATGCATTCGAATAAAATAACTAATGATTTCAAAACGGTAACGGTAAGGTAAGGTCAAAGATATTAAACATTTAAGGTAATGCGCGTGAAAAGCTCCAAGAATCGGGAATAAGATATTAATTTCTAAAACAAATCAGAGGACCAATGGCTGCAGTTTGATTGAATGTTACCCAAACTCGAAGGACCAACAAGTTCAAGAAAGAACCGAAATCATTCAAATCGAAGGACCAATTAATTAATTTTCGTTTGTAAACTTGCTCGAAGGCCCAATACATTTAGACTTAAGCAAATCGAAGGACCAATGACTGTAAGAGATCAAAGACAGAGCTGGAAAGAACAAGCTTTCGAATTAAATGACTAATGACTTCAAAACGGTATCGCTAAGGTCAGGTCAAAGATATTAAACATTTAAGCTAATGCGCGTGAAAAGCTCCCAGAATCGGCGATAAGATATTAATTTCTGATCCGAATCGAAGGTGATTGTTCCATATTTAATTTTTCGCCGACTCTCTCTTCAATTGGTTGAAGTTTGATTTGTGAATTGGATCGAAGGACCAATGAAATGACATTGATTCAAATCGAAGGACCAATAACTGCAAGAGATCAAAGACAGCTGGTGAGGACAATTTAAATTAAATGACTAATGATTTCAAACTGGCAATGCAATCTCTTTCTATAATTGACATTGTATTTTGTGAACTTGCTCGAAGGAATGACCAATAACTAATCAAACAGAAGAACCAGTGATTGAAAGAAATCAAAATCAGAATTGGACAGAGCAACCAGATACATCTAAGATTTAACCGCCACATGTATTTCACCATTTAACTTTTGCTCCAAATCGATTATTTTTATTAACCATGAGACTATTCGAAGCACCAATAAATTTGGATACACAAACGTGTAGGGCTTTTCTTTTTTCAATTCTGGCCCAAATCCTGAAAGAAATACACCCATATATAATTGATTTAATGACAAATTTCTCGGCCGCTTCGTACCCATTTTTTCGTATGATGCTCGAAGGTCCAATTAATTTAGAACCAATACCGCGTCATCTCATCCAAATCGGAGGACCAGTGACAACACAATCCCAGAGTGTTTAGATTTAATGTAAGTCGAAGGACCATTTATTTCCGACATTATTTTTGTGGCCAATGAATGCAAAAAAAGCACGCCACTACTTCGTAAATTTTGATTGGTGATTTTCTAATGTTGCTCGAAGGACCAATAAATGCAAAAAGAAACAGAAAACAATCAAAGGATTGAGCATATATTTCAGACACATGCCGGAGGGCCATTCACTGCATGAAAAAAAAAAACAAACCGCTTGTTTATTTTCTTGCACTGCTTCCATTGCACTTCCTCTGTTTTTTTAATTCAACTCGAAGGACCAATGTATGGAAGAAGCGGAACCAATTCTAATGTTTTTCGAAGGACCGATAAATGGTGCAACCTACTACCTCAGTTCCATTCTAATCCATCTTAAAGGACCAATGTATGCAAGAAGGAAACGAAATCTATTCAAATGGTCAAGTGATTAATTTCGATTTGACCGATAAATGTAAGAAGGCATTGCAAATGCTTTGTTGAATAGATTGCGTATATTCATATGTAGCTCGAAGGACCAATGAAATGACAAACACAGCCGCACCGTAAAATTCAACGCTTCATTCTGAACCAATCCGAAGGACCAATAAATGCAAGATAACACAAATCTGATAATGTTCGAAGAACCATTCCATGGAAAAATACTATCGCATAATTTTATTCTGAACCAACTCCAAGGATCTATAGAGTCATGAAAGAAACAGTATGAGTATTCAATCCAGACCCGAGTCGAAGGACCAATAACTGCAAGTGCCCGTTCGATTGGTTAAATATGTAATCCCGACACGAGTCGAAGGACCAATTTATGCCATAAAGAGAAGCAATCGCTTCGTACGACGTTATTATTTATTTTCTGACGCATTTCGAAGGACCAATAATTGAAGGAGTAAATTGTACAAAACGAGACCCATACAAGTGGTCAAGTGTTTTATTTTAACTCGACTCGAAGGACCAATAAATGTAGTTCCAAGAATCAATGAAATGAGAGTTACAACCGCACCGTAAAATGCAATGCTTCATTCAGAACCAAAGGACTGAAGGACTAATAAATGCAAGATAAAAACAGAGCGCGTTTGGTTAAATATGTAATTCCTAGACTAAAAATGGAAGAATACAAACGCACCTTTTCATTTCGAACCAAATCGAAGGACCACAGAAATAGAAACCATTCAAAGTATGAATATGCAATTCAGACATGATTAGAAGGGCAAGAAGAAAAAAGGAATAAATGATTTTGTTCGAAGGACCAATATCTGGAAAAGTTCGACTGGGTAAATATGAAATACTGACAATAGTCGATAACTGCGAGAAAGGTTAACTTCGCACAATTTGATGGTTTATTTTCTTGTTCGAAGGACCAAAAAATGGGAAATATATGACGGGAATATAATGGCATCGACTATTGCAGTTTGTGCGAAGCTTCTACCTGACAGACTGAGTATCTAGGGAGAGTTATGGATCACAACTCTACTTTTCTTCTCATTCCCGTTAGCAATCCTTAGGGAATTTGGAAATTGGTATAATTGACAAGATCTAAGTCTGAAAGCAGCTTGACCTTTTTTCATTTCTTGATTGATTTACGATTTTCTTCTAGTGTCTCCTTGCTTTTCAAGTAATTTCCATTTCCAAGTGTCTGGGCAAATGTAAACATATGTACATTTGCTAAGCCGACATCAAATGTCGGTAGAAATTCCTTTGCCGTTTTTTTATTCTTTCCAACCAGAATAACAACTTATCTTCACACATTTCTGTTTTTACGACTTTTTGTCTTACATTCTGTTCTTGGTTCATTTGGTTGGTTGTTTGGGTCAATTGTGTAAGTTTCAACGACACTTTCTTCATCACCATCGTCGTTGGCTGCTTGTTGCTATGCGTGCTTGCTTTCATGCGTGCCAATGTCTAACGTTCATGCTGGCCAAGAAGGTTAACTGAGAGAGAGAGAGACACACACCAACAAAACTGGATGACAAATTTTTTTCCTAATTCAAAGTCATTGCCCTATTTTGACGTCACAAAAGACACGGCGATACTTTACAATGTGCATAAGTATGTTTACAATGTCGATATGCACGAGTGCCGATTGTCTTTGAGATGGACGACACTTGAGAGGAGAAATTGTACGAGAAGTGAAAATAGGGTCATCGGAGTTTACAATTAAAGCAAGGGTAGGTTCTAATAGATTATTTCTACAAAATTATAGAAGAATTACTTTGGCCATATTGGGAATACCCAAAGCAACGAAATGCTCGCTCGAATCACTCTTTCGAAGAAATAAACTCGCTTGAATTCGAATCCGAGAAGAGAGTGAAACGCTCTCGAACTCAAGTGGGAGCACTACTGCGCGTACACTCTATTTCTCTATGCCTTCGGAATAAGAGCGAGTATGTTTTGATCGTTTTCGAGTGGCAGTAAAATTAGCTCAAAATCGAGCAGATTCTACTCCCGTCGAGTACTCTTCTCCTTGTAGAACTTGTACTCTTCGAGTTCTCCCTTTCCCGACTTTTTTTCACTTGCGAGTAAAATCGAGCAAATCTATATCACATCTTGCTGTTACAGTTCCCCATATTAATGCCTTTTTTGAGGTAGTCGCGAAACACTTTCTCGGACCACAATAAGGAAGATCGTATTTTGCATCCAGACGGGGGTCTTTATCTTTACAAAGTTGGGTTAAAAAAAAAAAACAAAGAAACCAAGTTAAAGTCAAAATGTGGTCAAGACCTTCCAAATAACTAAATCAGCCTAGCCTTCCGAAGTTGTATAAAAAAAAACAAGTTAAAGTCAAAATGGAGTCAAGACCCTCAAAATAACTAAAATCATGGACAAAAAATGAACCTATATTGAAAATTTCCTGCAGGGAAATTTTCTACATATTACAAACTAAAAATCCCAAAACTTGGGGAAGGAAACGCAACCCTTCCGAAAATAATGTTGTCCGATTGGTTAACTTTCCCAAAATCATTGGTCTAGCAGCGTTTTCGATGCTCTTTCCAAATATGGACACCACAAAGTTGAATCCTTTACTATTTTCCCACAGTGGAACCAAAAAAACTTTCTTCTTAGAATCTAAACAAGTCTGGCCACTGTCAGATTTCGGTT